GAATCGAACTACATTTGTCGATGGTACTCAGATTAATAATGAAATTCTTGTTCATATGCCACGGCTTTATAAATTTAATTTTAATATCAATACCAGAACTGCACTGCATCATTTAGTTCATTATTTATCGAGCGATGATATTCAACAAAGTTTTATTAACATAGGATATCAACACGTGGGCTGTATTCTATACTACATCACTGGTAGTGCTGTATGTCATGTTTTTTCACTACCATTCATGTTTGATTATCTCGAATTTATCGGGAACACATTTCCACCGATTATTTTCGATCATGTTACAATGCTGGTTCTGGATGATATCGTTCCATTCAAACACGAATTTTTCATCCGAATTGCTCGCTCTTTTCCTTTGCTTAAAAGATTAAGTCTTATTAATTCTGAATCACAGTCACAAATGTCAAATAATTGGAACTCTAATGATAATCAATTGTATTCAATTGTTGAATATCCTTATCTTATTTCGCTTCGTATCTGGTTGGCTCATATTGATTATGTCGAGCAGTTTCTCAATGATACAAAAACACATCTACCTCATTTAACTAAATTAAAAGTCAATTATGATCAATTAGCAGTCGTAACAAACAACTTCACAAGAGATACAACACGGCTCAATTGTGCTAAAGTGAAACAATTAATTATTGAAAAAACACTGGTGCATTCAAAAGATTTTTACGTTTATTTTCCTCTATTGTAATCTTGTTTGTGTTTTGATTAGGTTAATAAAATAAAAAATAAAAAGATTTTAATATTAATTAGTTTCCAGTCCAATAAGAGCAAACAATAATTATTAGTCGACATGTAGCACTGAATGACGTAAATGAATTACAAAGTAATTCAAAATAAATGAATTACAAAGTAATTCAAAATAAATGAATTACAAAGTAATTCAAAATAAATGAATTACACAGTAATTCAAAAAACATGAATTACATAGTAATTCAAAATAATAGAATTACACAGTTATTAAAAAACATGAATTACATAGTAATTCAAAATAAATGAATTACATAGTAAATCATGTTTCTTGAAATAGAAATACATAGTAATTCAAAAAAACATGAATTATATAGGAATTCATAAAACATGAATTAGAGAGTAATTCATAAAATATCAGGGTCTACCAGGGTGTATCAGGGTCTACCAGGGTCTATCAGGGTCTACCAGGGTCTACAAGGGTCTATCAGGGTCTATCAGGGTCTACCAGGGTCTCGATGTGGGTGCCGCGAAACGACTCATATCACATCTCTCTCAATGTGGGTGCCGCGAAGCGACCTACATCATATCTCTCTCGATGTGGGTGCCACGAAATTCTGGTAGACCTTAGTAGACCCTGGTAAACCCTGATATTTTATGAATTACTATGTAATTCATGTTTTATGAATTACTATGTAGTTCTTGTTTTTTGAATTACTGTGTAATTCATTTATTTTGAATTACTATTTAATTCATTTACGCCATTCAGTGTATTTACAAAATATAGAAATTTTGAATTATTTTGTAATTCGTTTTTTGAATTATTTTGAATTACTTTGTAATTCAAAAGCGTCATGGTCTCATAGTGTTTGCATTTACACATGTA